GGGGGGGGGGGGGGGGGGGGGGGGTAGTACCCCAGCAGGTGGGCCAAGCTGCTGAGAAGCTTGCCCCCACCCAGCCTTACAGTGAACAGATGGTGGTCTCTTTTTGGGTCCCCCTGGACCAGGGTACCTCCCCTGGAGCCTGCCTGGGCTCTCCTGGGTTCAGCCCCTCCCCATTGCTTGTTCACTATTGAACCCAGGAGGCCGGCTGGTGGCAGGTGGGAGCTCTGTTTTCAGGGCACGAAACTGAAGTGCACGTCGCCCAGTAGCTTCCTTACAGGTGGTGAGGAGGTGGGACAGGAGCTCAGTCTAGAAATAGGGAATGTAGGCATGTCACAGGTGCCCCAGCAGGGCGTGTCAGAGCTCAGCTGGCCCCGCCTTGCCAGGCCTCAGGCCTGACCTTGTGCGGTGACCACACCTTTCCCCAGGGTAGAAGCCAGCTGCGGTGACCTTGCTTGGCCAGGGGGCTGGCCCTCCCCTGCATATCACCAGTTGCCCAGCACCCTGGCTTCTGCTGCTGGAGTAGTACTGGGCTTCAAAGCGGGCTGGACCTAGAGTTGAAGCCAAGAGTTCCCTATTCTTTAGCACTGTGATTCCCAATCTATTTGGCGCTCAGGACTCCCCAAGTTATTTGTCCCCCTCTAGCACCCCCACGCTGTGTTTTGAGAATTCCGGTCAAGCTGCCCATGCTGTGTAAAAGGGGATTCGGTCGCTTTTCTCATTTTTTCCTTTATCGTACATAGCCACCAGTCTGAGCTTCTGCTCGTCTTGAGATAGCCAATGTTCCCCTTGGGGCTGGTAGATCCCGCCCAGAGTTCGGACATAGGCTGCTTCCCCAGCTGTCACGTTTGTCTGGCATGGGTAAATAGCCCTTTTCCTGAGGGCTTCTTACAACAGCACAAAGCTCGGTGACTTGCCCGTAAGTGCAGGCTGTCCTGCAGAGGAAGCTCTGCCCGGCAGCTTTAGTTCCTGGGAAACAGGTTCGGGATGACCCTGCAGACAGGGCAGTCTCAGGGCTTTTGGCTTGGACAAGGCAGGAGGGGCTCTAGGGAAGCCTTAAGTGAGACTTTGTTTCTTCCTCCACACCAAGATTGGCAAAGGGACTGGCCCTCCCTCCCCCACCAAGGACCGGAAGAAGGACGTTTCCTCCCCACAGAGGGGCCAGTCCAGCCCCCACCGCAGGAACAGCCGCAGCGAAAGGCGGTGAGGGATGGGGTTGTGCCTGGGGGGGTGGGGGGATGCTGGTGAGGGACCTGGGGGACCCTGAAGAAGGCTTTTCCCTCTCATCTTCTAGATCCCCACGTTTTCTCACCCTTTTCCCACCCTTCCTTTTTTGGCCCCCGCCAGAGGCAGGCGATGTAGGTTTGGTGCGTTTAGGCGTTTGTGTTGCTACCTCCTGGTAGAAGTGCTGTCCCGTTTCCCCGGAGAAAATGCCACTCACTGGCCCACTGGCTACTCCATGCTCTTGCCAGAGCAAGAGGACCCACACAGAGGGTCTAAGATAGCTCGTGTGGGAGGGAGCGTGGGAGGGGTGGGCCCCTGTCAGACAGGGAACTCTCCCAGTGGTTGGGAGAGGTTAACATCAGATTGCGGCTAGCAGGCCACGTTGATGGTGACTTTGCCCCTGCGAGAAACATCCCATTAAAATACCAGGCCGCCTCCTCTGGTGTGTCCCCTACATGTGGGTCTGGCTCTTGATTTAGTGTCATTGTCATTCAGGAGCCACAGCTCGGGGATGATTAAGGGGCACAAGCAGGCCTCTGATATGCAGTGTCATTCGCTTGGACCTAGGCAGCTTTTGTAGAGAACAGATTCCCCACGCAGAGAGGCACACAGTTCAGCTGTTACAGCCAACCTCGGACTAGGGGACCTCCAGCAAAGAGCAAGAGCCTGCAAGAGAGTGGAGGGACCACACTCAGGACAGCACAGGCAGGACAGGGTTCCAGAAACACACTTCCACGTGGACTTTACTGCTGCATTTGGGGCACCTTGAAGAAGGGAGGGGGAGTGACCAGGAGCAGCCACTGCTTGTTCCCTCCTCCCCCACCTCCCTGCCAAGCCCCTCACCCTTTCTCCATTCTCTTTTCCCTGCAGGCCATCGGGTGAGAAGAAGCCTTCTGAGCCCAAAGCCATGCCGGACCTCAACGGGTACCAGATTCGGGTGTGAGGCACGTGGCAGTGCCCAGCCTCACCACTTCTGGCTGGGATCCATCTGCCAGAACCAGCCTCATTCGTGGGGAGGGAGGGGCTGGTGACCGGGCAGGGTGGGAGGCAGCAGGAAGAGCCTGTCCCAGCTCAGCCACCCAAGCTGCTGCCCCTCCCGCTGGGCCAAGCCCCTTAACTTTGGGCCAAGAAGCAGTTAGTATTTTCTTTGGAGTTTTTAACCCAGTAACTGAAGTTTAAGGGATTTGGGGAAAACAAAACTAATGGATCTGCCGGTGGCTGGAAGGCCAGTGCTTAGGACATCTAAGTGCCACAAGGCTGAGCAAGGAGGGGGTTGCTGGCTCTGCTGGTGTCCCTCTGGGATTTGAGTCCATCCTACCTGTGGGAAATTTCCCAGCCCCCTAAGCCTGTGGCAGGATGGGGGTGGGGAAGGGGGAGGGACGGAGGTGTTCCTCCAGTTCTGTCTGCCCTGGCAGAATCTTGAGCCAGGGAACGGGAAGCAGGGTAGAAATCATCCTGGGAAAGGTCTGTGTGGCCAATATCAGGAGCTTGGCACAAGGCCACATCTGCCCCAAGAGCAGAGTCCATGGCCCAGGACAGCCCTGTGCGCTTGTGGCCCATGGACAGTGCTGTGTGGGCTGCAGGAGAGCCCAGGAGAGACCACTGGGGGAGGAAATCCCAGGCCCAGCTCCTACCTAGTCTTCTTACTTAGCCCAGCTCTGCCTGTTGCTGAAGCCCAGGGGGCTCCCTGCAGAGGGGCTGAGCCTTGCCAAAGGCCCAGAGTTGCCCTGGGCTCAGCATGACTGTAGGGACTGAGCAGACCCAGTGGGTCCAGGAAGCATGGCTGGGGACAGAGTAAGACACTTGGGCCCGGGGCTGTCCCCTGGCAGTCCTGTCCCCAAGGGTGGGGGTGAGAGGCACTGCTACTCCCCCCTTTCTATTACCTCAGTCCTTGCTGTGAAAACAAAGACCAGATCAGGATGCTTGTGCCTCGTGCCTGTCTCCCCTCATTTAGCAGCCTGTCTAGGTTTGGGGGTACCAGTGATGATCAGATTTGTTGCATGTGGCTTGTCAGGGAAGAATCTGGATAGCTGGAGACTACACAGTCTGCCTGGCAAGTGTGAGATACCTGGCAGGCAAGTGAGAGGTGGAAGGAAGTTGGCAGGGTTGGGGGAAGGTTCTGGAGGCTCAAACAACAAGGACGTGGTAGGGCAAGGGTGCGGCTGACACCACAGAGGAGTAAAGACTGAGAAATGAGGAGCGTAAGTGAGAAAAGGATGTGGGAGAGAGTTTAGAATCGGGCTGCTTGGGGAATAGAGTTCTCTGTTGCTGGAAGTATCCAAGCAAAGTCTGGATGGCTACTTGTCAGAAAGCTGTAGAGAGGGTTCGGGTTATGGAAGGGGTAGCAGGATGAGAGGACCATCAAGGTTTCATTGCACTGAAATGGCTGGGGTTCAGCCAGGGGCTAGGCCCTGGAAAAGGGAGGACCAGAACCTCAGATGCCCATGGGGCCAGACGGGGGATTAAAAGGGCAGCAGGGCTGGGTGGGCACTGTGGCAAATGAGAGAGGGCATATCCCTTTCAAGCAGCAACTATTGCTCAGCTATTCTCAGAATGTGGGCCCTGCATTACCAGATTGTCTGTTTTTCCAGAAGCCAGAACTCTGAATTTTTTATGTGAAATATCCTGATTTTTAAATGTTGGCAATCAGTTCAGAAAATGTAAAAACCCAACATGAAAGAGAATGCCAGTTTGTAATCTCTGAGGTAGAGTTTGCGCTGGGGAGAAGTCCAGTGAGATGCTTTCAGAACAGTTTGAGGCTTCCCAGAGCAAGCTGGGCCAGGGCAGCGTCCTCGCCGCTGAAGCTTCTCCCGGGGAGAGCAACTGGCCCAGGTTTGTCCTCTTCACGCTCCTTGCCGACCAGAGACCCACCAGGGTCACCAGTGGGGGTGGAGTAGAGATGGCACAGTTCCCAGCCTGCCAGGGAGATGGATGGGGCCTGAGAAGCAGAGAAAGAGGGAGGGAAGGAGACAGGATGCCTTTGCTGATGCGAGTGCTGTCGGGGAAGCCCCAGGGGCTGGCAGCTCTCCATACCAGCAGCTTCTGGCTCAGAGCCAGGCCCAGCAGGAGGGCCAGCTGGGCAGTCCCTTGGGTTATTCAGGGGTCACTGGGCCCTGGGGAGGGACCTAACCTGCCCCTGGACTGTAGTCCCCATCCAGACCAATTCAAGGGCCGTCATGACCCCTGACTCACCATCCCATCCCATCCCTGTTTTTAGGGAGTGGGGTGGTGGTCCCCATGTTTCCACATCGACCAGAGGCAGGGATGGCTCACTCTGGGAGGCGTGCAGCCGAAAATGAATGAGGCCTTTTCTAGGTCTATGTGTGGGTGCCTCCTGCAAGCAACTTAGCAACAGGGGAGGGACTCAGGACCTGTGGACCTGTGGACCCTAGGGCTCGAGAGGGGAGAGGGGATTAGGGTCAGGGA